GCGCTGCTGCTCGCTGCAGCAGCAGCAGCAGTGGCACTGAAGGCATATATTCATGCAATACATAATTGCACAACGTATATTCATATGGATCGAAGTGCAAAAAGGTGCATTCGTACCCGGATGTACAAATCAAGCGCCTCATCAGGCTTCTCTGCCCACGCTCTATGTCTGGCAGCTTCACTGAACAAAGCCTGATTCTCTAACAGGCGAGATGCTCGCAGATGAAGGTCCACAGACCCGGTATTGGGTAAAGCCTGCATTTGTTCAAGATGAAGATACGGGGGAGCGGAAGCAGCAAATGCACACAATAATGGATATTCAAACTACAGATCCAAACGACACCTTTTGCAGCGCTCTCTTTTGTCCATAATTGTTGCCTTCTAGCTCCACAAATACTCCGCAAAACCATACCTTCTTCTACTGATTGAAGCCCTTCATTCAGCTTCTTTCGTAAAGAGAATGCGTGAGATGTTTGCACCGTTATGCGCGCCCTCTAAAGCTAAAGCTCAGCTCTCATTCTGCCTATGTTGTTATTCTACATTATTTTTACTGCCTTTTTGTTGTATTATTATTATCGTTAATATCTGTTTTCTAATATACGAAGGTGAGGGCAAGGCAGTGGGTAAAAGGAATAAAGGAGTTTCCTCACGTGTGCCAACGCAGAGGCCTGCTGACTCTCTTCCGCCAGATTGACAGCCTCTTCTGCATTTCCGCTGAGACAGAGCATCTCGACAGCTCCTTCAAAGTCGCTGCGAGCCCTGAAAAGATGCATTTATTGCACGTTTATGCATGCGATGCATAATATCTCGTTTGCATGTCTTCACCGTCTTCACTGTTGCATATAAGATTCATCTGCGAGTTGTCTTATGTGTTGTGTGCATACACAATTTTATTATGTTCCCTCGTATTCAACATAATAGTAGTAGATTTAAACAAGCACTATGCAGCCCCATTACTTAAAGCTGTTTAGCTCGTCCTGATTTTCTTTGCTTCAATTCGCTTTCAAGAAAAAATAGAATCTGCTGTACTAGAAAAAATTAATTAATATACAAGTCGCCCCAAAATAATAGATAATAATACACCAGGATAAAATTGTTATTAAAAATTTATTGCATATATCTAATGGAACGGTCCCGAACTGAGTTGTATGATCCCAGGTAATTTTTGCTGAAGATTCGATAATAGAGTTGCTTATATTAAAATACAAAATATATTAAATTATTTAAAAATGTTCCTTTAGGGCGCCGCGGGCTTTACTGGAAAGGCATTTATTCTTCTATTATTTCTGTCTGCGTGTAGAGTGGAGGTGTACAGAGAGAAGTGGAATGCAAAAGAAAGAAAACATAAAACGACACAAAGAAAGATGAGCTGTCATACTTGCAAAACTCTGCTAAGAGCTCCGCTGCCTCTGAGTCCTTAACTTTTCGAACGAGGGCTTTTGCCTCTTCCCAACGGCCAAATCGGTGCGCCTGTTTGCATTTATGTACACATAAATACAACAACTAATATAATATTATTGTTGTATTTCGACGAAGATATATATATATATATAAGCTCCTCGCACCACTCTTCCATATAATATATATATATATATATATATGCATATGGAAGAGTGGTGCGCTGAGTGTATACTACTCATTTCTATGCTACGCTGTAATATACTACCTAACTCTACTTGAGGGCATCAGCAGCACCAGCAACAGCAAGAACAGCAATAGCTGAGAAGGGAGAAGATGTATGCCGAAGCACGGCACTTTGCACAGCTACAACAACAACAACAACAGCACCAGCAGCAGAAACGGTAGCAGCAGAAGCGCCACAAGCAGCAGCGGTAGCAGCAACAGATGCAGCAGCAACAACAGCAGCAGTTTCCAGAGTCGTATGCGTTTCGACTATCCGCTTACGAGTATTTTAACCATACTTTTAAATTCTCCTGCTCTTGCATAAGCACGAAGAGCTTCAAAAGGTTCGTCTTGTTCTCTTGCCTTTGCGTATTCCTCTAAAAGAAAGGTGGCGTTGCCACAGTGCCACAGGACTCCAAGAGGGGTAGCGCGAGATCGAACTCGCCAATCTACACAACCAAAATGTTCACAGCATGCAGTTGGTTTACCTTTAAAATGAATCCTTGCTCAGGTACAAACCGGAGGAGGAAACTGTTCGTCTTGTAGTAGGGCGTCTCCAGGTGGCAGATGTACAAATATACGCATCAATATATCTGCCTATGAAAAAGACAATAATTTATCCACGTATCAATAGATATATGGATACGGGTGTGTACTGTTGCGTATATGACATATATATATACATATATTATATGTTATATTGCTTTGTATTAGTAGACAGACACTAGGATGCTCGTGCTTGCAGCGATATGTGTGCACCTGTATGTACACTGAAGCGGCGCGTTCGATATCTCCCGCTCTCTTTAGGAGAATAGCTGCGTGCCTGTACTGTTGAATGTTCAGCAGTATATCGGCACACTCCCTATACACCCCACAGTCATCGAGGTCGGCAGCAAGCTGGAGGCCTTTCTGGAGCTCCCCCGCCTTAAGAGCACAGCGAGCTTTACCATGAAGGCATTCAATCATCTGCTGCTGCTTTTTGTGTTCAAAATTGTCTTGCTTTATTTCTTCGCAATGCTCATTGGCAGCTGCACCACCATTGCTAGGATTGCACGCAACATCACAACAAGAATCTTCTTCTGCCTCCATCTGAAGGGCTAGTCCTTCTGCTGCTGCTGAAAATGCAGCTAAGGCAGCAGAAAAAGCCCCTTCCCGCTCACAGCGCATTGCATGCTGCTGCAGCAAGTGCGGCACCCGCTTCTCCTTAAGCCTCTGAATAAGAGAAGATAAAATTAGCACACACTCCCTTTAATCACACAACCACCAAGCTAAACAGAAAGTGAGTAAAGAAGGCAGATAGGCAGAAAAAGAGGAATACAGCTGCGCTTGCTAAATTGCGGGTATATAGTTTTCAGCATAAGAAGCCGCAGATTATAAATATATGAATATACATATTCATGTACTCATTCCCGTCTCAAAATGAGACGAACCTCTGCTAGTTCAACAGCTAATTGCCACTCTCCTGCCTCACAAGCCATCTCTAATGAAGCTTCAGGGTCTCCGCTGTTCAGCAGCAGCTGAGCTGCTTCTGCCCATTGGTGGTTGCGTGCTGCAGGCACTCAGCGAAAGAAAACAAATACAGACTCCCTGCAGCAAGGCAGCAACAGGCAGGCTGCTACGAGGGCTCTCACGAGGAACCAGTATTTTTTTTGGGAGGCCCCGCAAGCGTTTGTTTTGGTTGTTTTGTTTGTTTTTGTTTGCAAGCATGCGTGCACAAACTTCTGCAACCTGAGATCCGTACCGCTACCTACACACGCTGTAGAAGCAACAAACCTTTTAAATGCCCTTTTAGAGCCGCTGTCTCCTCCACGTCTTCTAATGAACAAAGCGAGAAAACCAAATCGCTGCGCTGAGCAGCAGCAAACGCGCTGCATGCAGTAGGTAAGTCAAGACGCTCTAGCGCACTCCAGCCTACAGCTTCAAAACAATCTGTTGCAACTCCTGAGCAGTAACAAAACAGAAAAGAGGATTCGCTGCTGTCTTCACTCACAACTCATGCAGCAACTGCTGCTGTACGAAGGAAAGGAGTAGCCACAAACGGATACCACAAACAATGAAACACATGAACACTCTC